TTACCATCGGGTGGACTGTGTGCTCGTTTGTCACGCTATCATATAAAAAAAACCTGGAATTCAAACCTGGAACCACATGACCAGCAGTTACGCAAACAACACTTGACCAACGAGGCAGTTTATTACTAGGACTAGACAATAGTGCAATATTAAGATAACAACTAGAGCGCCGTATGAATAGTACCTACCTACATAAAAATCCTATTTTTCCACGCTTTTGCGTGGAATTATATCCTCAAATTGAAATCCACCCTTAAAGGTATATCCTTTATTTTATAAAAAAAGGATCACTGCGATCGGTCAGTTTAATATTAAAGGATCATGAAAATTGATTCACAATTGGCGAAGAATATATTGCGTAACATATTATAAACAAAATATAATAAAATTGAAATCCTTTTTTTTCAGTCGGCACAAAACATTTATCATTGGTGTACTGGCTGAAAACATTAATAATATATACATTTGTCAGTATCTAATGATCATCAATGTCAGATATATGGAGGAGGCCTACATTCAGCACTTGACTTGTGAAGAGTTACAATGATGTTGATGATGATACGTACATATAACTCAAAAATTTAAACGAATGGTGTGAAATCAGTGCGTGTTGCCAGTGTAGATAATATGAGATTATTGATCTGTATGAGGAAGCTCAAGATCGCTAAAGGTCGGTCAAGGTTACTCGGAGAGCTATAGGTAGGACCATGCTCGGAGTTTCATTGCGTGATAGACTTATTAATGAAGATATCCGCAGTAAAACTTGAGCAACCAACATAGCTGAACGGATCAGTTAGTAGAAGTGGTAATGGGCCGGCCGTATAGCTCGAAGAAACGACAACCAATGGGGAAGAAAGGTTCTCGGATCGCAGCCTAGAACCGATAGGCGGATTGTCGAACGGTCTCCTTCCAAATTGAAGAAATGAAGTGGTAAGAGATGCAAGATGTCAATGGATGCAGGTGGCTTAGAACTGTGTACATTCATCTATAACTTCTTTATTTATTTATAACTAGCTGATCAACGCGACGCGCGTTGCTTGATATATTAACAAAGCTTTCACCGTTAAATAACTAATTTTTATATAATTCGTTTAACTAAAGGAAAACTATAGGAAACTACGGCGGCAATTGATCAAGGTACAACTGAACAGCATCACTCACACAAATGTTTTTTATAGGATAGGGTGACAAACTAGCACACTGTCCACCTGATGGTAAGTCGTTGCTGTGGCCCATAGACATTTATCCTCCTTTGGGAATCAAAAAGCAGATGCGTTGTCACCCGTGAGGACTAAGATAGAATGCCTCTTTTCCAGTAAAAAGGGTCTCCGGTTCTCTACACTCACCATACGAAACACAGCAGTGTCAAGCTGCTATTTTACGCTGGTATTCTGTGAGAGCGTGGTCCTTCCCCGGTCGAGCCGACCCATTCGTGCTACAACCATAGTATAGCTGCAGCATGGCTTTACTACGACTGCAAATGAAAATAGATGTGTAGTTTCGACACTGACGAGGGGAGAATAACATTTTGTTAGGTACTGCTATTATCGAAGTAACCTGCCAAGCGTAAAAATTACGGCAAATTCAGGTAGGATTACTATTTTAAGATTGAAATGATATCCACGTTTAACATTGAACTATTAACGAATGGACACAGTAGTGATAATAAAGTTCCTAATATGTCTAGTTTCTGTGATGTTAATGCTGTTAGCCTACGCGGGTCTTACAGCTTCATCGAACTCAGAGAGAACAGAAACACGTTTTATAGATTCATATATATTTTAATAACTACCTTGAATATATATCAGTTCTCAAGATGCTCCAAACAGCCGTCAACCGCCTAGGCGATTAGTTTCGCTCATGGAGAATAGAAGAATCCTGAGAAAAGTGTAGCGATACACTTTCAAAGTATCTCCACTTTCAATCGTCAAATCAGAAACCAAGAAATCGTTAGGTACGATCAGCCTGTACGGCCACCAGATCCCCTGGCAACCAACGGCCAAATATCTAGGGGTTACATTCGACAAAGGTATGACATTCGGGAAGCATATTCGCGATGTCCACAACCGTGCAAAATAAGTTAGTCGCCTCCACCCTCTAGTTAACAGCAAGAGCAAACTGTCCTTAAGATTCAAGCTCCACCTTTATAAAACGTGCTTAAGACCTATCATGACTTACGCGAGCGTTGTTTTCGCGCACGCGAACTATAGTCATTTGTACGACCTCCAATTCGTCCAAAATAGATTCATTCGCATAACAACCGGAACCTGGTGCTACCAGCGAAACTCCGACCTACACAGAGACTTTCGACGATCTCTGAATACTTCAAGGATATGTCTCGGCGCTATTTCGTGATGGTCGAGACATATTCCAGCCCGCTAGTAGTAGTAGTACTTGCAACGAAACCACCTACGATCCGACTCCGAACGTTACGCAAACCCTTCGGCGACCCGCAACGTTCTAATCGAACCCCCTGTCTTGGTAGATTGCGACGACCGAAATGTAGCTGGCCAGTCAAACACTACACAATAACCTAGTGCCACGAACACTTAGGACAACAACGGATGGGACGCAGCGAGTCCGCAAACGGACACCCCTCTTAAGAAGTTATACTTCTTTTGGCGCGTTTGAGAAAAATGTTGAGTGAAGTTTTTTACGATGCGCGGGCGTACCGACACCTAAAAAAGACACAACGAAGTTGTTACGATGCGCGCGCACACCGAAACCTAAAAGCGACAACTTCATTTGGTAATTGTCTGTCTACTGTCAAGTTTTCGTGAGAGTTTGGCTTTTAATTACATCTGTGACTTCGTTGACATTCACATATTCTAGGGGTCGCCCGCAGGTGGTAGTACAGACTTACGCTCGACCTCTGCAAGGTGAGCGGGATCTGTAGGTTCGCTAGAGGGAGTACATTGGCTCTCTATACTGTCAGCGAGGCATTCGGCCTTCTCAGAGTCGTCAAAGGCGATATCGGGGTTTCCTGGCCTGATAGGAGGAGGCATAGGTGTGTAATGTTCTGCTTTCAGAGCTGGCGTTAACTGCCAGAAGGCAGTTTGGCTCGATGTCTGTCAGCAGATTATCCCACAGATTATAGTGATCGTATTGTCTTAGGGCCACGTTTTTTGCTCTTGCTTGCATTGAATCACATATTATGACTTTAAAATAAATGTCTGCACGATACGCGCACCATCTTTTTTTTTATAGGAGAGGGGGCAAACGAGCATGCGGCTCACCTGATGGTAAGTGACTACCGCCGCCCATGAACAACTGCAACACCAGGGAGGGAATTGCAGATGCGTTGCCGGCCTTTTAATATGGAGTACGCTCGTTTCTTGAAGGTCCCTAAGTCGTATCGGTCCGGAAAAATCGCTGATGGTAATCGATTCCACAAGGAAGTCGTGCGAGGAAGAAAACATCTTCTAAATCGCACAGTGGTGGACCGCCAATCATCCAGATGGTGTGGATGGTATCGGAAGTTCTGCCGCGATGTGCGTTCGTGAAATTTGGCGGCTGGGATTAATCTGAACAATTCCTCAGAGCACTCCCCATGGTAGATGCGAAAGAAAATGCAAAGGGATGCAACATCACTTCGCAGTGCCAATGAATCGAGCCGATCGGAAAGGGCTCGGTCGTTGACGATTAGAGCCGCTCTGCGCTGGATGCGGTCAAGTGGAAGGAGCTGGCACTGGGGAGCCCCTGCCCAGAGATGGGAACAGTATTCCATGTGAAGCCGAACCTGCGCCTTGTAAAGTTGCAGGCGGTGTGCCGGCATGAAATACTGTCCCGCTCTGTTGAGCACGCCAAGCTTTTTAGAGGCCAATTTGGCCTTCTCTTCCAAGTGACCACGAAACTACACGTCACTCGATATGTCGACTCCGAGGATACCGATACTGGCTGAGGCAAGAAGGGGAGTGCCTTGAAACTGAGGAGATACGACAAAGGGGTTCTTTTTAGCGGTAAACGCGCAAACTTGTGTCTTCTGAGGATTAAACTGAACTAGATTTATTCGCCCCCGATCCGAGAATTTTTCCAGCAAAGACTCGACTTCAGACACAAGTTTGTTCGTCTGCCCCTGGAATCTGATATACTAACTGGTCTACCTCTGTACAAGGTACAAATACAGATTTAGATCTCTGTAAACGTTATGTTTGGGCCACATGTTTGTAGGTGTGCCCTGTTTCAATTAAAGTAATAGCTCTAGCAAATCGAATAGCGTTTAGATCTGGCATTCTCAGTTTATTTGCACTAACAATTCACACTTCACACGGTAAAAGTTCTTGAATATTAATTAATATTCGAAAAACTGAAGGTAGTCGCGCTAGTTATGAAATCGGGACGTCAAACACCTGAGTTCCCTCCGTGACCATGGGTGCTGTAAAGCATCCGAAACGTCGTGAGTTAATAAGATAAAATTAAATGCGATGAAATCCGTAAAATTAGTCTCATTTAATAAGTTGATTTCAGTTTTATATTACTACATTATTTTAGGCTACAAAAAGTTTAATAACTTTAGATTTCATATAATGTAAAAACTTTATGTATACGTAATCCAATATAATTAATTCACCGTGTACTTTCTTAAACACTATTAATTCTATAAAATTTTAATTTATACAAGAAAACAATTTTTACTTATTTTAAGCCAGTGCTATACTGATGCAATCGAAGATGGTAAGGCTCACAAAGCCTTTTTGTTTTGTGTTTTTTATAATAATAATAATAATTTATTTGTTAATTCTGCTATCTTCTTTAGTCTACTATATTTTATTATAATATTCTGTATTTTAACTATATTTTCCGTATTGTAGCGGCGTAAGATCGTGCACCTCATACTAATAATATATAATCCTCAACCTCCCTGCAAGCGTGGCAATTATGGCAAAAATCTCCCCTTATGAGGCAATCCCTGGGAAAGTAGCATTTACTTTTAATAGGCTGTTATAAATGAATGAATGAAATTCTACTATGTTCTATTTATATGGAAGAAAAATACTTACCAAGTCAATAAGTTGTGACAGTCTCAAGCCCAATTTCACAAGCACCGTATTATTATTTTTATCGACAGGCCGAATGAGTCTATTATAATTACTTAGCAAATCATCGTAAAGTCTTTTCGCGTCCGGATTTGCTAAGCTAACACCACACGTTGCCAAAAATGCAAAAGCTACTATCTTGGACATGTTACACAAAAATAGTCTGTATAATTTAGAAGAAATTGATACACTATCTTAACTACAGCGGAAAGAGTTTATTATTAAATTATTAAGGATTTTTATTTATTTCGATTTATTTAAATTTGAAAATGGAATTTTTCTTCTGTTTTTGACAGATACGCCCGGGAGGACGCTGCGATTGTAGCGCCGCTACTGGCGGGAAAACATAACATGCCACGCTTTGGTGCGCAGAATCCGCATCATTTTATTTAGGTATCCTCTGATGAAATCTTCAGTGGTAAACAACATGATATTATCATTTTATTATATTGTAAAAAAAATCAAAAAATAATTAAACTAATTCAATATCATAATTTGTAAGTTGGTGCCAGTGTTATTTGATGTATTTTTTAATTTATAATTTATACAAATCTAAAACATAATATCTTAATTAGTACAAATATTAGTATTAATTTAATTTAATAGATATGTAAGTTCGTAATTGCAATATTTATTTCTGTTACTAATATTGTGTTGAGTATAAAAGTTCCATACACTGTACATACATAACACTTAGATATAAGAACTTATCTTACTAAATTAAAAAAGAACAGAACGCGGACGTCAATAAGATAGATAGGCATTTTTAAGCTTGTAAATACATTATTTACGTGCCGTTACGCTGGATCAATGTATAAAGCGCATGCGTGTTGCTCCATTCATGAGTACTCTGTGTGTTAGTGTATGACAAACGCATGTAGAGGGCATTAGTTGTGTCAGCTATCCTTTAACATGGAATAACATTACCAACATGATGTTGGTTAGAGGAGCTAATGTACCTATCAATGGCTAAATTTAATATTTCATATCATCTGTTGCCAGTTACGGGGTAGGTTCGAGCACAAAAAGCGCTTTACGAGAGGGTGTAGTAAACGTCCTCTCTTGCGGAAATAACTATAGATTTATTTTATCCTTAGAGAAAGGATTTCAAACATTACTTTTTAGTCTTGTTGAAACATAGCAATAGAATTTGTCTGTGTCAGGAGGGGTTTTGAACACATTAATTATACACAAATAATGTACTTGACCGTATCTATGTGGAATACCAGCACAGTTATAGCTAAACGTTTTGCCTGTTCAGTACAATAGTAACTTTTTTTATAAGATAAGGGTGCCAAAAGAGCCCACAGTCCACCTGATGGAAAGTGGTTGCTGTGGCCCATAGACATCTACATCTATCCTCGATTACGAATCAAAATGCAGACTAAGATGGAATGCGTCGTTTCCAGTAAAAAGGGTCTCCGGTTCTCTGCACTCACCATACGAAACACAGTTGTGTCAAGCTGCTATTTTACACTGGTATTCTGTGATAGCGTGGTCCTTCCTCGGTCGAGCCGACCCATTCGTGCTACAACCATAATATAGCTGCAGCAAAAAATGAAATGCATTCGAATCAAAATGCAGTCTAAAATGGAATGCCCCGTTTCCGGTAAAAAGGGTCTCCGGTTATCTACACTCGCCATACGAAACACAGCAGCGTTAAGCTGATATTTTACGCTAGTATTCTATGAGAGCGTGGTCCTTCCCCGGTCGAGCCGACCCATTCGTGCTACAACTATACCAGTAATACAGCTGCAGCATGGCTCTACCACGTTAAAATAACGTGAAACACTCACATTTCACCAGGTAGGACTCTTTTTCTTGCCTGAAGAGTGTAGAGAGCCAGTATAATTACAGGATGTAAGTCATCATTCCATCTTATTCCTTTGTTGGCATCGCAGTTGTAGCCATCTTCATTTTGCAAGTTTTTTTTATAGGATAAGGGTGACAAACGTACACACAGTCCACCTGATGGTAAGTGGTTGCTGCGGCCCATAGACATCTACATCTATCCTCTATTACAAATCAAAATGTAGATGCGTTTTCACCCGTGAGGACTAGGATGGAATGCCTCATTTCCAGTAAAAAAGACCTCCGGCCACCTACCTGCACTCACCAAGCGAAACGCAGAGGTAAACCTCTACTTCACTCTGGTATTCTGTGAGGTCGTGGTACCACCCCGGTTCGAGCCACTGTTAAGTTGGTTGCAGAAATATGTTCAAATACGGTATCAATATCGATTAATTATCTTATTAACCATCTTTAACTTTATATTTATTATATTCCACATATTATCTGCATTTTACCAATCTTTTAAAAAAATATAACTGATCATTGTTTATTTTTCAAAAATAAAAAAAAATATAGTTATAATATAACATTATATAACAAAAACAAAAAAAAATCTTATAAGAGGGCTGGTTCTTTTCTCGCTCAAAGGCTAAGTATAGCCATTCAGCGGGGAAACGCAGTCAGAGTACTTGGCACGATACCGCAGGGAGTAGGACTGTATGATAATTAAGTTACTTGTTTTAGTTTTTTCTTAATTATACTTTTAAATATTGTATATAATAAAATATAGTATATTATGCTATGTAATCCATATCCTCCCGTGGATGTCGTAAAAGGCGACAAAGGGAAAAAGGCAGGAGATGGACAGCAGCATCTTCCTGATAATAGCCAAAATTATAATAAAAAAACTGCGGTTGCCAACCCGCTCGCCAAGCGTGGCAACTATGGCAAATACCCCCTCTATGAGTGTAACAAAGAGACGGCCCCCAGTCCCCGGCGGCCCCGCTATTCCTGGCTACGGTGGCGACCATGGTAACGGCGGGGCAGGGGGTGCTAAGAATCTCCGGTGGAGGTTCGGTTGCCACCTTAGACGACTTGACCTGGCAACGTACAACGCACGCACCCTGAGGACTGACGAGAAGATCGTGGAGCTGGAAGAAGAGATAGACAAGTTGCGCTGGCATATTATAGGATTATCCGAAGTCCGAAGAGAGGGGGAGGACACGGTAATCCTCGAATCCGGCAACTTGTTCTATCACCGGGAGGGCGACCATCTGTCACAAGGAGGTGTCGGATTTATCGTCCACAAGTCTCTCGTTAACAACGTTGTAAAGATCGGGAGTGTGTCAACGAGGGTTGCGTACCTTATACTCAGAATCACCAAACGGTATTCGCTGAAGGTCATACAGGTTTACGCACCAACCTCGGCACACCCCGATGAGGAGGTGGAGGAAATGTATGAGGATATCTCTAGAGCCATGCATTCCTCCAAAACCCAATATACGGTGTTAATGGGAGACTTCAATGCAAAACTAGGCACAAGAGAGAACAGTGAGCTGAAAGTAGGGAAATTTGGAATAGGGCAACGGAACCCAAGGGGCCAGCAGCTGGCCGACTTCATGGAGAAAGAGGGACTCTTTATGATGAACTCTTTCTTCCAGAAGCGGCCCCACAGGAAGTGGACCTGGTCGAGCCCCGACGGTTCGACAAAAAATGAGATTGACTTCATTATGACGACCAGACAACAACTGTTCAGTGATGTCTCCGTGATCGCGAGGGTGAAAACTGGTAGCGATCACCGAATGGTTAGAGGCACACTGAACCTAAACGTTAAGTTGGAGAGGTCTCGTCTAATGAAGTCAACGCTCCGTCCCCCTCGTGCTCTGTTCCAAAGTCCCGAAACCTTTCAGCTCGAGTTACAAAACCATTTTCAGTGCCTAGAATACTGCAATGAAGTGGACGATATGAATGACAAGCTCGTGGAAACTGTCCATGCGGTCGGAGCTAAGTTCTGCAAGACCCGCCGCAGAAGAACACAAAAACTCTCCGATCACACTCTTAATCTCATGGCTGTTAGACGGGAGATGAGGCTACATTCTTCAACAGACTTGACAGCATACAGGCATCTGAACAGACAGATCTCCAAATGCATGCCGCGGGACTTACGCAACTTCAATACAGCTCGTATTGAAGAAGCGATCGAGCGGAACCAAGGCTCCAAAGTCTTTGCCAGAGATCTGTCTGCCAGAAAGAGCCAACTGTCAAAGCTGAAGACAGAATGCGGCAGCATCGTTTCCGGGACACCTGAGATTTTGAGTGAGATTGAGAGGTTCTATGGGCAGCTGTACACGTCATCGTTGGAGCCACACGCAAGTGTGAGTAACGATCCAAGAGCGAGTCTCATCCGACACTATTCCGAAGATATCCCGGACGTCAGTCTGAGCGAGATTAGAATGGCTCTCCAGCACCTTAAAAACGGTAAGGCCCCAGGCGTGGATGGAATTACAGCGGAGCTTCTGAAAGCGGGTGGAAGACCGGTACTTGAAGTCCTTCAGAAGCTCTTTAATTCCGTCCTCCATGGTGGCATTACACCGGAGGCGTGGAGCAGAAGTGCGGTGGTCTTGTTCTTCAAGAAAGGTGACAACGCTCTCTTGAAGAACTACAGACCGATTTCCCTTCTGAGCCGCGTCTACGTGCTGTTTTCGAGAGTCATTACGAATCGTCTCGCGCGCAGACTTGACGACTTCCAGCCTCCCGAACAAGCCGGTTTCCGAAAGGGCTTTAGCACCATAGACCACATACATACCCTTCGGCAAATTGTACAGAAGTCCGAAGAGTACAATTTGCCACTATGTCTGGCGTATGTGGACTATGAGAAAGCCTTTGATTCCGTCGAAATTTGGGCGGTGCTGCAGTCCCTTCAGCGGTGCCAAGTTGACTATCGGTATATCGAAGTGTTGAAGTGCTTGTACAGTAGGGCTACGATGGCTATCCGAGTACAGAATCAGAGTACGAAACCTATCCAATTGCAGAGAGGTGTAAGACAGGGTGACGTCATATCCCCGAAACTCTTCACCGCTGCATTGGAAGACGTTTTCAAGCTTCTGGACTGGAAAGGATACGGTATCAACATCAATGGCGAGTACTTCACTCACCTTCGATTTGCCGACGATATAGTCCTTATGGCAGAATCGCTGGAGGACCTAAGCACTATGCTCAATGACCTCGATAGTGTTTCCCAACGGATAGGTCTTAAGATGAACATGGACAAAACAAAGATCATGTTCAATGTCCATGTCACACCTATGCCGGTAGTTGTTGGGAGCACTAAGCTCGAAGTTGTTGACGAGTATGTT